ATCGAGGAAACGTTCCAAACGTCGCAGCTCAGAGCGGCTTACAAGACGTTCGCGCAGCCGGTCCGGCGGAGCACGTCGCGGAAGTTCAAGCCGGTAACGGATGGGAGCCTATTGGGTTGTGGATAGTTGTTGTAGTTGATGGCAAATTGTAAGACTTTGGACGCTTTGCTTATCCTCACCAGCCCGTCCCCAAACGATACCCCTGAGAGTTGCTTGGATATGTAGGGATATGGTTAGGTTGAATTTGCGTGCCGAAGGGGCTGGCGGGATAACGGAGCGAGGAGGGCACGTCTCCATGTAGCAGACATTTTCAATGCTGAGCTCCGCGACCCATTCAGGAGCGGTGCGCAGGCGAGCGGTCGTGAGAAGCGAAGCGCGGAAGCATTGTTATTGGAGCAGGTGGTGTACACTATGTAACTCGAAGCCAGGTTCGAGTCCGAGCGGCCCACAGCAATGTCCAGCTCAGGCGCCTTTGTTGGAAGCCCTTTCTTGGGCCATCTTGAGATCATTGGGGGCTTTTTGGGTTCTCTTTGAGACCATCTTGGAGGCCATTGGCTAACAAATGAGGTGAAGGTCCAACTGGACTCTGGGATATCCAACGTGCCCGTTTTGAATAATACATGTGCCAGCTCGAAATCATGTTTGCCTGTATGCACAGCTTTGACTCTCTGCCTTTTGGTGTCTTGCTCAACGGGGGCTTGGGGGGGGGTTGTCCGTCGAGGCCCTGCGGGCCTCGGGGGTACAGCGTCGTCCCTTGCACCTGCGATGCCCTTCTGGTCGTGTGTGCTAGCCTTTGGGGCACGGGTGGCGGAGTTGGGTGCTCGAACGCGTTGCGTGCTGGCCCGGCGCGGCCGTCGCAGAGCAAAGCAAACTTGCAAACTAGCACGCTCGCGTGCTACGTGTGTGTGTGCGCGTGGGTGGCCCTGTATCCGTACGTGCGCGTTTGTTAACTGACCCGATGCAGTACTCCAGTGTACCTCCCCCTCCTTCGTCCTACCCTGATTCATCGCCTGTCTTTTTGTCTCCTCCCATTTCGGATTGCTCCAGCATGTTCATGTAGCACTCCTGCGCAGTCGGGCTTGCATGGGCTCGATGTTTGCCGTCGTCGTCGGCGTCGTCGTCGTCGTCGTCGTCGTCGTCGTCGTCGTCGTCGTCGTCGTCGTCGTCGTCGTCGTCGTCGTCGTCGTCGTCGTCGTCGTCGTCGTCGCCGTTGTCGGCGTCGGCGTCGTCGTCGTCGTCGTCGTCGTCGTCGTCGCCGTTGGGTTCAACAGGACTCGTGCATGCAGCTTGCAGTGTTGTTTATTGAGGTAAGTGTGCGTGCCATGCAGCAAGGGGTGGCTGTCCGTCGGAATCCAATGTGGATTGCCCGGGGGGAGACACGCTCGCAGCCCGCTCCTGCCCCTGCTGCTGCTCCTCCTCTTCTTCTTCCTCCTCCTCCTCCTCCTCCTGCATTTTTGTCCCCCCTCCTCGCCCTTCCTTCCGCTCCCCTCTCTCACATCCCAGGGGGTGTAATTTCATTTATTGCGCCCTCGCTCTCATATTGCGGGCCCCACAGCTCTTCCCATCCCTTGTCCGTCGATCCGCATTGCGCGGCTCAGACTGTTCCCTGGCGCCCAGCCCAGCCTCAGCTGGCTCCACCCGGGACGCCGGGATGGCTGAGCAGGTGGCCCCTGTGTCGCCGGGAAACCAGGGTCCGAGATCGTTGGGTGGCACGCCGCTTCGGACGGCCTTGCGCGCCGATCGAGAGTGCAGCGACGCGGTCCCTCGGAAAAGAGCCCGGGGGGCTGATGCTTCTGGTCAGATGCGCGGAATGACAACCAACACCTTCTCTTGTTTATGGTGCGGTGAGAGAGCGCGGTACGACAGATCGGATCGGCCATCTGCCCCCAAGTCAATTTCTATTTCTAGTCTGGATGTAAATACAAAGTGCATGTCTGTCCTGGAGGCTAGGTTTGGTGATCGGGGCAAGTTATTTTGTTCGAAATGTAGGCCTGTTGTCTGCTCTTTTATTGAATCTTGTGCCATCGTGGATTCTGAATCCAAAACAGCGATCTTGCGAACGCTTGAAGCCTTCATCGATCGGGATGCTGGCTCGGGCCGCGCTATAGATTCAGAGGGCCGCCATCACTCCGGTGTCTACCAGAGGCGTACTTGTCGCATTCTTTTTAATCAGGATCGCACATCTCGCCGCCTTGAAACACAGTTGGCTCCGATTTTACAGGACGACTTGGCGGCAACAAAGATTGGGCAGATTTTTAGTGATGCGAATTTTTCGGCTAAGCGGTCCGAAGTGGATAACGAAAATCCAGATTGGGAAGAGCCGGCTGCCGGAGATGCCGTCCCAACGGTGCCCGGTAAATGGTTTGATTTCTTCTGCGGGTTTCCTAGCGTAGGTCCCTTCAAGTCATTATTTTGCTTGTATTGGCTCGGGACTACGGCTGTATCTGAGACCATTCGGATGGAGTGCAGACATTCCTTGGAAACTCATGTGATAGCAGACTGGGGCACAGGGCGTGCCCTGGCCGAGATAGCCAAAGACTGTGACCCAGATGGAAGAGTCCGAGCGGCGCTTCCGTTGAAGCAGCGGGATTCTTCCGCTCACGCTATCCGGCGTTGCTCTATTCTTCTCATTATTTTGTATTATTCCCCATTTGGTGATGCTATGCTGCGCGTTCTTCTCCCGCATGCGCGTGCCCACCGTGTCTGGAATTTCTCTCTTTTGCATTTGGAATTTGTGTTGTGTGAGCTGCGGAAAGCTTCAAGCAGTGTAGGCAGATTCAAGTATTATACTGACACTCCGTTGGAGCACCCGAGCGGTAAAGTCGTTGTTCCCTCCTGGAGCTAAGGGAATTGTTGCTCATTTGGTGATTTGTGTTTGGATATGTTTTAGCCGCTTGCCCAACAGTAATGCCATCCATCGCGCGTTGGATATTCTTGGATTTGGACATCGTATGACCCAATCAATGTTGAAGCAATTTGAGGGGGTAGTTATTATTTTGTTGTGCTTTTGCAGTGCCTATGATTGTGGCGGCTTGGGCCGGGGGCTGGAAAGAGCGCCCGTTGCTTTGCTTCTCTGCTTGTCTGCGTGAGTCGATTCCTCGAGGGAGCGTGCCGGCAACACGGCGGCAGCTGGGGAGATGGCGGGGGCGGCCATCTTCCCACCCCGTCTGGGGGTACCCACCCCGGCGTTCGGCCGGGGGGACCGGGGGGACGTGGGGCATGCGGCAGGTGGGAAGACGTGAGGGGCGCCCATCTTCCCACCCCCCTGGTCGTCGCCGTCGCCGCCGCCGCCGTCGTCGTCGTCGTCGTCGTCGTCGTGGTCGTCGTCGCCGTCGTCGTCGTCGTCGTTGCCGCTGTCTTTCGCCGTCGCCATTGTACCAGCGGCGCGTGGAGGGCTCTGCCAGGCGCCCCAAAGGCATGGAGCCCGCAACGCGTGCGGACGGGAAGCAGGGGGGACGCTGTCGACCCCCCACCAGCCCACGGCCGCTGCCGGGAAGAAGGTGGGGGCAGCCATCTTCCCACCCCACCTCCTGGCGTGCCCCCCCTCTCGGCGTCCGGGCTGGGGGTAACTGGCGTGTCTGACGAGGCAGGCTGCTGGTGGGAAGATGGAGGGGGCGCCCGTCTTCCCACCCCCCTGTCGCACTTGCGCACGGCCGAAGCTGGGAAGATGGCGGGGGCGGTCGTCTTCCCACCCCCTCCCGGGTGTGCCCCCCGCGCACGGCCGCAACCGAGAAGATGGCGGGGGCGGCCGTCTTCCCACCCCCCTCCGGGGTCCCCTCTCGGCGCCCGGGTGGGGGAGACCAAAGTGTCCGACGTGGGACAAGCGGCTGGTGGGAAGACGAGGGGGGCGCCCATCTTCCCACCCCCCCCTGGCGTCGCCGTCGCCTCCCCCCCCCGTGCTGCCCCCCCCTCCCTCCTCCCTTGCCTGTCCCTCCCCTCTCCCCTCCCTCCCTCCCTTCCCTCCTCCCTGGCCTGCCCCCCCCCCCCGGCCGCCAAGGGAGATCTTCCCTTTTTCCGCTGGCCACCAGCGCGCCAGGCCGCAGGTGGGAAGATCGCGGGGGCGGCCGTCTTCCCACCCCCGGCCGCCGGTCGCCCCCCCCTCCTTCCTTGCTGCGCGCCAGCACCCCGCATCGCCGGCAGGGTGCTGTAGGGGCAGGGCTGTCCCGCTCTCCAGGCGCGGGTGGGAAGACGAGGGGGGGCGCCGTCTTCCCACCCCCTGGCTGGCCTCCCCGACAGCCGCCCGTCTGGGGGGGTGTCGCCCTCCCCCGCCTCGCAGGCCACCAGCGCGCCGGGCCGCAGGTGGGAGGATCATGGGGGCGGCCGTCTTCCCACCCCCCCTCCTCCGAAGCTTGCGCCCGTCCCCGCAAGCGTATCCAAGTCATGTTTGTCGTCGTGATAACGGAGGTTCGGATCCCACGGAGCCCTGCAATCCGTACGCTGTGCGTTCCTGCCGCCGCCCTCCCCCCTCCCCCGCCGTGCTGTGCGTGTGCCGTGTGTTTGTTCTGGCCGTGTCGTGTTGTGCCGTGGGGTTGCCGTGTCGTGTTGGTGCCGTGGGGTTGCCGTGTGGGTGCCGTGGGGTTGCCGTGTCGTGTTGGTGCCTCGCCTCGGCCTTCTCTGGCCGTGCTTCCCCGGGCTCGCTGGTTCGTCGCCGGCCGTGCCGAGCCCGGGGTGCCCCTGCTGGGCTGTGTCGCTTTGGCCTGATCGCAGTCGCTATGTGACTTCTTAAGTTGCCGGCCGTCTGTCGGGCAGCCTTCGGTTGACCCGGGAGGGGGTGGGAGCTCGTCCGCGTTTCCAGGCCTCGTCTTCGCCTCTCTCGCCCTCCCCCCTCTTCCTCCGTATTGCCCCAACAAAGGATTGACGCGTTTCTCACATATGCAGGACCGGACCTCCGTCTTTATTTTTCCCGGTGGAACGTGTGCTCAAGGGCTTGCCACGCCACGCGCCGCCTGGTCCCTGCCCGCGCCCCGGAGCCCGCAACCCGGCCCCTCGGCCCCGCCGCGATGCCGGTGGAGCGCAACAGGAACCGGGACCGGGAGCGGAGCCGTAGTCGTGATCGGGACCGGAACCGCGACCGGGATCGCGACCGGGACCGCGACCGGGACCGGGACCGGGACCGGGACCGTGGCCGCCGGGACCGTCGGCGCCGCTGTAGCTCAAGGTCTTCTGAGCAGCCGGCCCCTGGGCAGTCGTGTAGCCCGACAGAAGTGGCTGGCTCGCCAGAGCGTGGCTTGTCGGCTGAGCTGAGTGCCATGCTGCCGTCTCAGCCAGTTACCCCGCGCCCGATTGAGGCCCCCCCCGGGGACTTCAGCGCTTTCCCCGGGGCGGCGCCGAAGGCTCGTGCAGTGCTCTCCCCGGCGCCCCCGGCGCGCGGCTTGGCGGTCTCTCCGCCGGAGGGGTGGGTCGGCGCGGCGCCTTTGTCGCCGCCGCCACCGCCCCCGCCGCCGCCGCCGCCGACTGTCGCAGCGAATTCACCGGTGAGGCGGCAGCCCGCCCCCGAGGCGAAGTCCCCGGGCCCTCCGGACTTGTCGCCGCCGCCGCTGCCGGCGGGATGGGAGTCTCGCCGTGCGCCGTCTGGGGCTTTGTTCTTCCAGAACAGGCGTACAGGGGAAAGCCGGTGGGACCACCCGGGCACGGGCCCTGCTCCCCCAGTTCCGGCCCCTGCCCGCGCCACCGCAGACGCATCTGCTGCTCCGGAGGGGGCGCCGCCGGGGGGCGCGGCGACCCCGCCGATGGCAGCGTGGGCGAGGGCCGCGTTGCAGCTCACAGCGCCTGTGGTGGTGGCACCCGTGGCGGCTTCACCTGAAGCGATCCGTTCGCTGCGCCTGGAGCTGGAGGCCCTTCAGGCAGCGCGTCCGGATTGGGAGGAGTTTCGCGACCCCACTGGGGGCCAGATTTTGTGGTTCCAGAGGTCTACCCAGCAGGTGGTGATGCACCGGCCACCTGAAGTTGCAGCGTGGATCTCCCGCACCGCCGCCTTGAATGAGGAGATCAGCGAGCTATCGCGGTCCCGCGACCGTTCGCCTGCCGGGGTCCCGGCCGGCCCCGCTTCGCAGGCTCCCCCCCTGCAGGACGCGGCGGCTGGTGGCGCTGTCCCAAATGACGCCGCGCTTGCGACCCCCGCCCAGTCGCTCGCGCGTTTCACCAGGGCATCTGAGCTAGATGGGGCCGTGGGTGCCTGGCACAGCAGGCTCCACACTGCGGTGGGGGGGTCGACGGACGGTCGCGTTGCCATGGAGGCGACGTTCCACACGCGGTGCTTGTCCCAGGGCGACCTGCATGCAATCGCCAGGGCGATGGGCGTCCACATCGAGGCTGCTGCTCCGAAGGGGCGCGGGGCACGGCCCGCCCTGGCCCCGCCTTTTGGCTTTGCCACGGGCGATTTTCATCAGCCCGCCGTCGAAGTCACTTGGAGGACGGGGCCGTTACTGAAGCTCACGATACAGCTCGTGAACAAGCGGCAGGGGCGCATTGTCGTCAAGGGCAAGAGGGCGGCTTTCGACGCCAATTTGGAAGAGCTCTTAATGTTTCTGGGGCCTGTCGCCGAGATTAGGACGGCTACGGCCCCGGCCCCGGCAGTGCACGGCGCCCCGGCCCCCCCGCGCGTGCGGGCGCGGGACATGTTGGGCCCTGGCTAGTCTCGCCGCCCCACCCCCGCTTGCCTCGCCAGCAAGCGCTCGCGGCCCGGTTGGAGACCGGTGTCCTCGTTGAAGCCTCCTAGTGAGTCGTGTGCCCCACTCCAGCGCCCCCCTCTAATGTCGGCGTCGCCAGCGGGGGAGGGGGTGGGCGTGCCCCCGTTGCCCCCGCTGTCGGGGCGGACAGCCGAAGCTCCTGCCCAGTTTGCCTGTCGCACTTGTTCTTTCCTCGATCTCCTTATGCCCTGTCATTGCCCGGGCTACGACGTTGTTTTTTCTCTTCGGCCCCGAGAAGCCTAGATGCGCGTTGCCGCATGAGCTCGCGCAGATCTGCACGCGCTTGCCCGACTTGCAGGCTAGGGCCCCAGCGCTAATTCGTCCTGCATAAAGAGTGTCTTTGGACGTGGCGCTTGGGGAGCGGCAAGGCCCGGGCGCGTTGTGCAAAGGAAAAGGCGCCTCGCGCGGGAAGCCGTCCCACTTACATTGTCTTCTGCTCGCGCTGTCTCGAGCTCATTGCGTGCAACGTCCGGCTTCGCAGCGATGTCCCCCGCGCTTATCTTGCATGCAGCGCGTGCTCACATGGCGCAGTCACCTTGTCCTTTCTCTGTTCGCGGTAGCACGCGCGTGCGGGGTCATGCTTCACTGCGTCTTTGTTCAGCTTCCACGTCAGCCCGTTGCTTTGCTTCTCTGCTCGTCTGCGTGAGTCGGCTCCTCGAGGGAGCGTGCCGGCAACACGGCGGCAGCTGGGAAGATGGCGGGGGGGGCCATCTTCCCACCCCTCCTGGGGGTGCCCACCCCGGCGTTCGGCCGGGGGGGCCGGGGGGACGTGGGGCTTGCGGCAGGTGGGAAGACGTGTGGGGCGCCTATCCCCCCCCCCGGTCGTCGCCGTCGCCGCCGCCGCCGTCGGCGTCGTCGTCGTCGTCGTCGTGGTCGTGGTCGTCGTCGTCGTCGTTGCCGCCGTCTTTCGTCGTCGCCATTGTGCCAGCTGCGCGTGGAGGGCTCTGCCAGGCGCCCCAAAGGCATGGAGCCCGCAACGCGTGCGGCTGGGAAGCAGGGGGGAGGCTGTCGACCACCCACCTGCCCACGGCCGCTGCCGGGAAGACGGTGGGGGCGGCCATCTTCCCACCCCACCTCCTGGCGAGCCCCCCCCCCTCTCGGCGTCCCGCTGGGGGTGACCTGCGTGTCTGACGAGGTCAGGCAGCAGGTGGGAAGATGGAGGGGGCGCCCGTCTTCCCACCCCCTTGTCGCACTTGCATGTCGCCGTGTGGTCGTGTCTTTCCCAGGCCACAGTGTTGCGCGCACGCAAGTCCCCACGTGCTTACATTCTATTGTCCCGTTGTCCCCTTCTCACGCCGTGTTGTGCTTGCATGCAAAATCCTGCCTTGCAGCGGCGATGCGGCCCCCGCCCCTTGATTGCTTGCTGCGCCGTCGTCGTCGTCTCGCATTTCCCCTACCCCGTGCCACCCCTGCTCCGATAGGGCTCGAGCCAACGCCCTCTGGAGCGCCGAAGCGATGGATCGCCGACGCGCCCCCTGGGAGGAGGAGGCGGCGACGCGCTCGCGGATGCGAGCGGAGGCCGCGCAGTCCCAGGCCCCGCTTCGTGAGAAGGCCATGCGGTGGTTAGGTGCGCCCCAGAGCCGCGCGGAGTTGGCGGCCGCCTCCAGGGACTTCCTAGCCCTGCTGCACCTGGCTCCGGCGTGGCCAGATGGGGTGACTCGCCATGCGGGCACCGTAGCTGGCCCCCTATGGGCCTTCGCAGTGGAGCTGCAACACTTTCTCGCGCGCGCGCTGCTCCCGTCGCTGATGGCGTTTCCCGGGGTCTCTCGCATTGTGGGGGGGCCCTACGTTGGGGGAGTTCCCCAGGCTGCTGCCGCAGAAGCGGCTGGGCGCGTCCTGGGGCCTGTCCCGCCCGCGCGCCCACTCTTCCGCATTGCCACGCTGAACCCGGGCCGCACGGGTTTTCTGCACCTTGGTACGGACTTAATTCTTGAGTGGCGCCTGGAGGCAGTCGCACACGCTCTTGTCGAGCATGGCGTTGATGTCTGTATCCTGCCTGGCTCGCGGTTCCCGCCGGGCGCGTGGTTACCGCCAGGCTTTCCTTTTGTTTGGATTGGCCCGACGTCCACGGAGTGGGACACCGTGGGCCTCTTCGTGAGGCCCGAGTTGGAGCAGGCTGTCAGATTCGTTCCGGAGGCGTCGTCGGCGCGTGAGCAGTGGTTTGAAGTTTGGCCCTCCGCGTCGGCGCGCTCTCCGTGCCTCGTTCTCTGTGCCATGTACCCTGTCCATGGAGGAGACAGGGACACGTGGTCCTCTATCGTTGCCCATGCCGCGGAGTTTCAGGCCAAGTACCCGCTTGCCCGGCTTTTAATTGGGGGTGACGGGAACGTGCACCTCACATACGTCGTCTCGCATGCGGTGACCTGCCGCTGCCTGCACTGCTCCCAACGCGGCCCTGACAGAGATATCCAAGCACTGCTGGACAGGGCTAACCTCAGGGCGTTCAACCCCCCCAAGCCGACCCACTCCTCCGGCACGTGCATTGACATTTTTATAGGTTTGCGCGGCGACCCCCTACCTGTCCAGGTGGTGGAAGATTTCATAGCCCTTTCGGATCACAAGCTCGTCCTACTGGATGCGCCCTGTCTGGTCGAGCCGCACTTGGCCGCTGGCTTTGGTCGAGTAGCGTGGACCTCAGGTGCTGAATGGGAGGCCAGCCTCAGTGAGGTTGCGCCAACTTTGGCCGCGCTCGCCCACGCGGTTGAGCTTCTCCTGGAGTCCCAGTGGTTGCGCCCGGCCTGGCACGGAGGCTCGGCCACGAGGCTCCATCGCCGCGCAGTCCTAAATGTGGCTGCATGGTGCCGCGATGCAGTGTACACTATTGTTGGCCATGGCTCAGGAGCTGTCCGCCTTGTCGGGGGACCCGCGAGAGCGAGGGCACCAGCTGCGGTGCCGTTAGCCCCCTCCGCTTTTTCTAGCTTTGCTGACTTTAAACGGGCGACTGAAGAAGCAGCCTGGCAACAGCGTCGGAAGTCGGTGCACCGTTACCTACGCCTCCGGGAAATTAATAAAGGCGCCGCGGAGCGCTTCTTGTCTGGATTTTTCAAGGACGCGGACAGATTTGATATCCAGCTCGTCAGCCCAGTGACAGGGCGCACCCAGTCCACGAGCGAGATGCTCGATGCAATTCAGGCGGACCTGTTGGGGCGCGCTCAGAACGATTTCCCCCAATGCCCTGTGGAGAGGGACCGCATGTCTCGCGTGGTCTCAGGGATCCGGCGCGCAGGAGCCGCGTCCGGGCCCGAACGCGCGCAGCCACTGTACAGCGAGACCGAAGTCGAAGAGGCCATTGCCTTGTTGAAGCTTGGTAAACGGACTGTGCATTTGTGCAACGCAGCGGTGAAGGCGCCAGTTCAAGAGGGTTTCCGCCTAACGCGGGCGCTGTTGAACTTGGGCCGCCGCCTTTGTGTCACGTCTCGCTTCTGGTCTCTCCGGCAGTTTTCACCTCTTCGGAAATCAGGCCCTCCCGTGGTCAGAAAGGTCTCTGCCCTTCGACCCGTGTCCTTCGCCAGCGACATGGCGTCTGTGCAGGACGCTTTGTGGATAGCGCGGAATGGGGCCCTCATTGAGGCATATTGCGGTGCAGCCCAACAGGGCGGGGTTGGAGACCCTGTATCCCAGGTTCTTGCCCTTGTCCTCAATGCGCAGCTACGACGCGCGTTTGACTGCCCAACCTGGTGGGCCATAGCTGACAATAAATGGGCTTTCGATGTCGCCTCGATCGACGGCATGCTCCTCGGTGCATACAGCGCCGGGGTCGAGGGGGCCGATTGGCTCCTCTTGGACGACATCCTGGCCCAAGACCAACAGACAGTGGGGCTCCACGGCCTGCTCTCTCCGGTCTTTTTCTTGAAATGTGGAACTGCCCAAGGTCGTCGCTTCTCCGTGCATATTTTTAACGCGCAGCTACGCGCGCTGCGTGACGAAATCTCGGAAGCACTACCCGGTGGATGCGCTTCCTGCATCCCGCTGCTGATCAGAAGCGCCCTTTTGGATGCGGCCATTGCTACGCCCCCCGCATGTAGGGAAAGCATGCCCTGGCGAGACCTGCCGGTTCAGGAGTTTAAGTCGAGTGTTGCGGGCATCTTAGAGCAGGCGGCCCCCCTTGCGGCGTCTGCTGAAGAGCGGCTCCGTGGCGTCTTCCAACGCCTCCCGGTGGAGGCGGACCGAGTGGCGCTTGCCGAGGCTACAGGGTCTTTCCATTTGCCTCCGGTTCAATTTGTCGACGATATCACCACGCCGTGCCCGTCTGAGGGCGCCGTGCGGGCAGTGATCTCCGATGAGAGCACCTCGGCATGTAGTCGCTATGCGTTCCGCATGAAGTCCTTGTTCACGTATGAGCGTGACAAGACATGCGTTTTGCCCTTGCTTGGTGCCCCGATCCCAGGCCGACCAGGTTGCCCAGTCGTATCTCAGAAACACCTCCTCGGTGTTCTTGTCGATTCAGGGCTGACTTTTGGCCCGCTGCTGAACGAGCTCTGTGCTATCGGCGACTCCTGTTTCAAGAAGTTGCTTTTCGCGGCGGAGAGCGGAGGTTTTTCTGTGCCGGTGGCGGCCGCGCAGGTGCCGCCTCGAGTTGAGGCAGCTGTTCTTTTTGCGTGTCCGCTCCTTGCAGGAGTCCCTGGCGCCGAGGCTCGTTTCAACAAGCTTCAGGTGGGGTGGGGCCGCCGACTGCTGGGATGCCACGGCGGGCCGCCCATCAAGCACGTCGTGGTGGTCGCGCAATGCGGCTGGCGCATGCGAATGGGCACCCGGTTCATCGAGCGTGCGCTCATGGCTCGGGCTCGGCTCACCGTGCTCCCGCCCGACCATCCTGGCGCAATCATGTACCGTGCTTCGCGCGCCCTCTGCGTCCCCACCTGGCTCTCGGACGCAGCGGCGCTGGCTTCCCGCCTGCCTGACCCGCCTCCTGACCTGGATTCTCACCCTTTGTTTCCCCCGGAGGCCCTCCGCGCTGCCCAGCTCGACCCAGCCCGAAGGAAGGTCCTCCTGCGGGAGTATCGGCGCTTTGCCTTGCGCCCGGCACTCCTCAGATACGACCAGCAGGCCTTCGCAGCGGGGGCCTCGCGGGTTTTGCCGAGCCTCAATCGGTCCTTTGCAGCGCTGTGCCCTGGTCCAGCACTCCCCGATGAGGGCATGCTGACCTGGGAGCCGGGGCCCTCCTTTTGGAGGTACTACCGTCTGTGGGCAGTCGCCCGGATGACGGGGGCATGGCCGCTGCCTGTGTTAGGCGAGGTGGAACTCCCAGAAACCATCCCAGTGTGCCGTGCATGCCGCAGGCGCGGTGTCTCGCTCCGGCATGTCCTCGTTCGCTGTCCGGCCTTAGACCGGGCGCGCAAGGCACTGCCAGGTGTGGGGGAGGGCCGCGTTGGGCCGTCCGTCACTCCTGACTTGCTCTTGCAGCTGCTCTTTTGTGAGGGCGCGGAACCTGTGGCCCGTGCCAGCCACATTGTTTTCGTGGGCCGCGCAATCCTGCGCGCGGCCCCCAGGCCGGCCTCCTCCTCCTCCTCCTTTTCCTCCTCCTCCTCCTCCTCCTCCGCCTGCCATTCTTAGCTTGCTGCGTTAGGGCGCGCCGCGCGCCCTTCCAACGCTGCCCCCCTCGCGTGGCTGGTCCGGGGGGCACTGTCCGCCTCTGGCGGGGAGGGCGCCGTGGTCGCCAGGGGGCCTGAGAGGGCCGGGGGCCTTCACGCGCGGTGGCTGTATCAGCAGTGGGATCGCGAAGGAGCGGGCCGCCAAAATGCTCTCATTTCGCTTGTTTGCCCATGTCCCCCCTTGCCCGTCCTCCCGTGGTCTTGCGATCTTGCCCTCTCTCTGTCTCCCTGTCTCTTGCTCTCTCGGTCTCTCTCTCTCTCTCTCTCCGCTGGTCTAGGTAAGTGTCGCTTCCTGTTGATTGATCTGATCTCACGATTGTGTTTCCCCGTCCGTCTCCCTGCTGCTCCCGCCTCCCTTGCTCGTCTGTCTTATTGCTTCCCATAGCGTGTCTTGACACCTCAATGGCCCCTTCAATTGTTGCTTGCGCTCCTTTCTCTTGCATGTCTGACTTGCCTGCCCCCCGTCGACGTCGTCCGCCGCCTGCGTTCTGCGGGCGGGGGGGGAACGTTGGACCCCCCGCGCCACTCGTCACGCACCAGCCGGGGGAGGAAGGGGTGTGAGAGACCACCGCCTTGCCTCCGTCGGCTGGATGGCTCAGACCTGCACCCCTGTGGCAGTCCTGAGTCGCAGCGGCCGCGGGGCCGGGCGCCGGGCGACCGGCGCGCGGACCCGTGGACGGCTGTGTATAAGCGAAATGTGAAAAAATGACGCCCCAAAGTGGGGGGGGGTCTTCCGCGGCCCCAAACATGAACGCGTCGACACCGAATGTTGAATCACTTCCGATGGTTTTTTTTGGAGGGGGGGGGGGGGGCAGTTTTTAGATTTTGGGGCCCATTTGGACGGACCGCAAAACATGCGGGGGCATGGCGCTGGAAATAATGACGCCAGCGCTGCAGCGGGAACACAATTCGGAACGAGCGGAAGTGCAGGAAATGAGGCCAGCGCTGCAGCGGGAGCACGATTCGGAACGAGCGGTAGCTCGAAAATGAGGCCAATGCGAGAGCAGCAGTTCGATTAACAGCCCAAGCGAAAACCCGTTTGCCGGGAATCCTGTGTTAAAAACCAAGTGCGCGGAGGGGGGCCGGACATTCCCCGGGCGCCACCAGGGGTGAGAGGAGAGCAGTATTCATGTTGTGTAGTTGTAGAGAGGGGGCGAGGGAGGGAGGGGGGGGGGAGGGCGACAGAAGTCAACACCGGGGCCGCGGACCGCATCCTCCTGCGGCAGCTTTCGGGCCGCAACGGGCTGCGAGGGCCCCGGGGCCCGAAGCTGGGCGGACGCGCTTGGTGCGCAGAAGCTGCAACGCCCAGATCTCAGGGCTCCTCCGGGCGGGCGGCCGCGCGGGCCGGCCCTCGCGGCCGCCTGCGCGGCCGCGTGCTGCGCGCTCGCGGCCGCATGGGCACAGCAAAGAGCCACGACCACCTCCGAAGCAGGAGGAGGAGGAGGAGGAGGATGAGGAGGAGGAGGTGGAGGAGGTGGAGGAGGAGGAGGCAGAGGAGGAGGGGGAGGAGGAGGAGAGGAGGAGGAGGAGGAGGAGGAACTTTCTGATAGCCCCTCAGTGGACTTTTCTGGATGGCCCCTCGGAGGAGCGCCCAGAGACCTCGACATGCACCCTTCGGTTGTGGTTGTGGTCGATGCGGCCGTCTGGGGCGCCCACGTCGACCAGAGCCAGTACTCGAGCTGGTTCTGGTGCTCAATTGCCTGATGCACCCGTGTTGAAACGCAACACATGCCATGCTCAAATCGTCCGTGTCAATACCGTGCGTGCTGACTCAAGGTGTTGGCCCACGTCTTGGCGGCTGTGTCGCGCCGAGCGTACGTGCTCAGTCTCCGTGCTGAGCTCCGTGTCGACACGCTACGTGCCGCGTGTGCTGCGTATCGGGGCAGATCAGTTCCGGTGCTCTGGCGATTGCTGGCATGCGCAAGACATCCCCATAATGTCGCTGTGGTTGCGGTCGCCCGCTGTCCCCACAGGCCGCCTGCCGTGCGCCTGCGGGCGGGCTCGCGCTCGCCGCGGCGCCGCGGGGGCGGGCGCGGCGGCGCGCGCTGGGGCAGCGCGGCGCCCTCGCGCTGGTCGAGAGCGAGGTGCCGCCGCTGCTGAACGCGCCGGTCTCATGGGGGAGGACAGTAGGTGGGCAATATAGATTCGAGCCTTTGCACACATTCGAGGGAGATTCTAAATCACCCCCGCGCCCCCGACATTAATGTTGATCTCAGTAAAGGCGGTGCTTTGGGGTTCGAATATTTCTGTCCACTCACGCCCCCCCAATCGCCACGCCATCAATATTAATGTCGGGGGGTCTGGGGGGCATCTTGGGCCACAGGGTTCGAATATAATGTCCATGTACGGGAACACCGAGATTCGAGGGTTGAGGTTTTCGGATTTGAGCTGGCTGGGGCGGGTCTGAGGGTGCCCAGCACTGGCTCCGGCGAGAGGCGTTGGGTTTGGGATCGGTTTTTGGTATGCTTTTTCTGCCTCTGGGTGCCGTTTCTGGGCTCTGGGACTGAAGCAAATGGATCTGGGGTGAAAAATTGCACCAGGTGACCCCGGGGAGGGGTCCAGGGACCGATTTTGAACGGAGTTGGACTCATCCCCCCTCCAGGCCAATGTTCGCAGACTTTCAACGGAGAAGGTTAAAGGCGAGGTATAAATCGAGCATGTACCGCTGCCGTGCCTGGCTCAAGCCGGGCCCGGCCAAATATATGACTGTGCCTCACCGAGGCGCACGACTGGTATCTGAGATCGGAAAATACCTTTTCCATTGAAGATGCCCCTTCTATCCTTTACTCCAGATCCCATGCTTCGTCTTGCTCTCTTGCTCATGCGATATGAGCCAAAGCCTGGGATATGGCAACGCTTAAAGCGTAACACATACCTAAGCTTACCAGCTTGTTTTCGACTTGGTAGCGGAGCTGGCTACACTCTCGTGTGGCTGGCTCTCGCTCTGATTCCTGTAATCCACGGCACAACTTGGTGGACTACTACTACGGTGGAAAACCATGTTGCGCCGGCTCTGCGAGGAGCGGAGCCAGTCCGCGATCGAGCTAGCGGGGCAACCCGCGAACTCGAGACGCTCTCTCCAACTTCACTGCGCTACTTCACTCTCGACTTCCACCAGCTGCCAATCGGCAACTCGATCGAGAACGTGGTCACCCTGCGGGGCTACCCGCAGCGGGGCCACCTGCATCCCGTGCCAGTCAGGCGCCTCACGGCTACTACGCCAGAGCCTGACAAACCACAGCCTAAACCAAACACCGAAGCCGAAATGCACATGCATTGGATCAAGATAACTATATTCGGCATTCTGTGGGTAATAATGGGATGTGCTGTGGGATACATGCGGCAGGGGATGGACGACACGCGTACTACTGGCCCTTCATGGGACCCTGCCGGTACTACGCCTTTTCGCGAATACGTTCGCGAAGTACATGCATGGTTAAACGTAACGAGCGGCAATGTGACACCACCACAACAAGCCGCAGCACTACAACGAGGCCTTCAAGGTCTGGCTCGTCGTATCGCCATGCAGGTCCCCTCCCAGATCATCAATTATGGTGTAACTGTCAATGGACAGCCAACGGATGCAGTAACATATATACTGTACTTACTGAGCACCAAATTTGAAAATCTGGAAGATGAGCGCCAGCTCAACTCTGGCACTGCCCTTATCGACGTCCGCGTCGAAAGGGGCGAGCGAATCGACTCAGTATTAGCTCGATTCGAGATGGCCCGTGACGAGGCTAACTCTGTTGGCTTTGTCATCCCCAACTTTCAGATCCTATCGCTGATTCTCTTCAGAGCGTTAGGCGTTGGCGCGTCACGAGCCCAACACCTGCTTGAGCCCTTCAATCATCAGATGCCCCGAACACAAGCAGACTATGACAGGCTGCAGACCAGGATGAGGAACTACGGACATGTTGCCGAGCGCTCTCCTGGCAACATAGCGGGTATCTTCACAGGGCACCACTCACATGCAGGTGTCTACGCCACGACTGCGGGGTCACCCGCTGGTCCTGGCGAGCCAAATCCCTGGCTGACCCAGCCGATATGCCCAACGAGGCCACTGCCCTTCTAGGGCAGACCGGCCAGGCATCGGCAGAGGCAGCTGAGGCGAACGCCTGGTCGAACTACTCGCCAGGCGCCGCCTACA